AGGGGAGGGGGAGACCGAATCAGCGCCATGGCTGGATTTTTCCATAAACATTGATTCCTTTTTTCTCTTTCATGTGATGTACGAGGTGGACGATTAATTTTGAAATAAATTAGAACAACCCTGAGACTTATTACGCTCGCTCTCTGTAGTATATTCAATACTATGAATAATATTGAATACGCTTCAAACAACGAGCAGTAAAGATGGGTCCTGGTAAACGAATTAAAACACAGTGCCGGTTTCAAGATCTAAGTGATTCAATTTGCAAAAGAAAATGGAAATCGTTTTGCAGCAAGGATGTTTGATATTGGCGAAAGCTTCATAAGGGAGTGGGGGAAAAAAATTAAATGACAATAATTAACATGTCAAAGAAGAAATGTGCTTTAAGTAAAGGAGTAACGAAATGGCCTATTCTAGAAGAAAGTGTTGCGAACTGGAAATCGCCTGAATGGATTAATTGTAACATGAAACAGTGTACGTTTATTCGCCTTAAAATGGTCAAAAAAGAATGCCTTTTCATGTTATCCAACAATAAAAGTTCATAAGGTATGTTATTTCTTTTAAATAAACAGTATTTCGATATATAAGTCTAAATTTGTTTTAATACTCTTTTTTTTTAAAGCTCTCATTTTTATACTCGGCGTATAACGCGAACCCCTAAATTTCGATCTTGTTTTTTGTGTTAAAAGTAAGCGTTATACGCCGGATTTTACGGTACCTGAAATAATATTAAAAAGTCTTAAAACTAAACCGTACTGAACAGTAGTCCTACAATTATTTAGTTATTAGAATTATTTTAAAAATTTCATATCGCGGTGGACGTTTAAGAGTAATCGAAATCAGGGACGTTCTAGTATTAAATGACTTGGAAGTCATTTTTTCCGTCGAAAAATCAAGCTATTGAACAGTGCAATTGGCTTAATGTGCAACTCATGCCAAAACCACGTAATTCGATTCAAAATGTCACTTGAAGCCGAATCCACTTTCGCGTTATGCCGCTTCAACGCTTTGAAAGTGGAGTTTTAATTATAATCACTCTGTATATAAATAAATTTCTATACAATTATGTTATACACATGTTTCCCCAGTTCTGCTGGATTGATTGCTTATGAGCATCGCATTGCGCGAGCAATCGCCGAATCTTGTAATTTGGAAGCATTGTCAAGTGAAGAAAACGATACATGAGCTGTAACCCACTTTCCAAACTTCAACATCAACTTTAACTTACACACACACAACCTTTTTAAATTCAGTTCTACTTTTTTGGAAAAACATTTAAAGAGCACGTAAGTGAGTGAGTGAATATAACGTCGCACTGTTCAGCTACACGAGGGCTTTTGGCGACGGACCACGTAGTTTTGAACCATGGTCAAGTGCCGAAGACGACGCCTGAACTGGCAACCCCGTCTCCTTACTACGACTATTGTGTTGTGTATTTTGTGCTGTGTTATTTACTATGTGTGGTGTTGTCTTTTGTGTCGAATTTTTTCCTACTTTCTTGACAATTATAATTATTTTTTGAGCATTTCACACAATATCTTTATAAATTATAGCCTATGTGTTATTCTGATGTATAAGCTTTATTATAGTAAAGTTTCATTAAAATCCATTCAGTTGTTTTTACATAAAAGAATAATAAACATCCATGCATACAAACTTTCACATTTATAATATTAGTAAGGATTTGTACGGCTGAATTAACACACACAAAAAGTTATGTTTAATTAATTCAGTCAAAGAGCTGACTTGTTTTTAAAAATCATTTATGAGAGATGTATGTGGTCAAATAAAAATATTATAGAATTAACTAACCAAAATTGAAAAAATTTAGAATAGCATTGAACCTACGAGAAATCCAGGCTTATAGACATGCTATTTTAACATAATGGAAAAATAATAATTTACTTTCCCAAAAAGTGTGACTAAATTAATTCAAAGGGCTAGTTTGTTTTTAAAAAGCATTTATGAGAGATGTATGTATTTTAAATAAAAATAGAATTAAATTAACTATCCAAAATTGAAAAACTTTATAATAGATTGGATCTGTAAGAAATATTCAGTCTTGTAGATAAGCTATTTCAACTTATTGGGAAAAATAAAGATTTACTTTTCCACATTATGCAAAACATAAATAAATATTATGTAACATGCATGACATTTTAATACGTATAAAAATAAAAAGTACCAAAAAAACTCTCAGTAATCAAATTATGAAGTGCAGTTCAGTTTAAATATATGTTTTTGACTAACTTAATACTACTTTCTTATATATTTTAAGATGTTCTTTATAATGCATTCCTAAGTTTCAAACTATTTGCATGAATCTTTTATTTTATGCTCAGTAGTTTTATATATATGAATCATTTTTACCTCAAATATATTATCATTTGATAAAAAAATGTGATATGATGCAAGGTTAGATGAATTTTGTGTCACTAGTTTTTTTCAAAAGTAATTAACTTTTCTTAAATCATAAGTATCTTCAAATTAATAAATTAGTACAAATACAAATGCATATTTATTATTTGTAATGTCAATTAATAATAAGGAATATCAAGGCTTCTAAAAAAACAATTATCTTTTTTTATTCATAAATTACATAGTGCAAATTTCCTGCATTAATACATCTGAGTCTCAAAAGTTAAATGAATTTGTAACTTTTGAAGCGTTTTGTTATAAAATTAAATCATAATCAATCAAAATAAAAAATAACTATAATTTGGTTATAACTTTTTTAAGCATTTAAAAAACTAAGAATAGGTTAACAATTAAGACATAATTTTGTACTGTGTGTATCAAATTTATTCATTTACATCATTTTATAAGAATTAAAAACTTAAAAGTGATAATCCATGCTCCAAGCACTATTTAAACATACTATATTTCAGTTTAAAAAAAAAAAAAAAAACTGACTCAATTTTTATTCTCATCCTGTTTATGTAGGTTCATATAATCAACTAATTAACAGTAAATTTTGACATGAATTTAAAAAAATATAAAAAATTTTCAACCCCTCCCCCTTTATGTTTTGAAAATTGTACAACAGTAATATCTGAATGCATTTACGACTAGTAAACACATAAGAAACAAAAACATAAAACAGATAAATTTATTTTTCATTTTAAAACATAAAAACTCAAACAAAGTATACATTTATATACACATAAAACATTGTTAAAAAGTAATAAATTGAATAAAAACTCGAGTATATACAATATCACAGATTTCAATTACTAAAAAATAATTCAAGATTTTATCAGAATTTCATTTCTTTGGTGATTCACTCTGCCTTTCAAAGTTTCACTCTTTAATCTCTGAAAAATTAAAACTCAATTAGAAACAACAAGGAACAGATGACTGAAAAGTTCAGTTAAAAAATATATTTTTGAAGAGAGAAAGAGAGTTCCAAAAGACTAAGTATTAATACAGTGCAAAACTTCTTTTTTTTTTGCTCCGTGATTTTTAATTTTATATTGAATAAATAACTCTACTTCTTCTACTCTACTGAACTTCTGCAATGCTGAGAAAATTCATAGTTTAAACAAGTAATATAAAAAAAATAATAATAATTCAATTTCTACAGTAAGACCCCGCTTAACACTGTTTCGTTTAGCGCTCTTTTATTTCAACCCGGGGATTCCCCGAAATTGCTTGCAGCACTACGAGGATTCCCAAAAATTGTAGATTTTAAAGTATATACATAACATACCCGAAACAGTATAGTTGTGTTTCTTGTTTGGTGCGGTGCTGTACGGATGCATTTTTGACAATTGAAACATTTGTTGACATTATTGTAAGTATAAATTTATATAGTACTATAACGATTAATACAGTGACAAATATTATGATCTTTAGTTTTTATCATGGATGATAATGAAAAACAAGAAAAGAAAGCAACCAGAAAAAACATTTCACTGGAAACTAAAATGCAAATGATTAAAAGTTTAGATTCTGGTGAACGTCAATCTCAAATTAGTGCTGCATTGAATTTGGCAACTTCAACAGGATGCCTTCTTGACAAAAAGGCAGAAAATTGGAAACACAGAATTGACTGAAAGATCTGACTGACTTAGAATTTTGTTTTTATATGTATATATTCGCTTATACTGTTTTTATTTTTGTAAGAAATAAATGTTTGGTTTTATTTTTATTAAAAAAAAACATAATTATTAAATTTAATACCTAACCAATTTTCTATCCATCTTCCCTTAACCCCATTATTTACATGTTAAGATAGCCTCATTTAGCGCTGTTTCGCATTACGCTCTACTTGGATGGAACGTATCCCCCGCGTTAAGCAGGGTCTTACTGTACTTAGGTTAGCAAAGAAAAATTTTATTTTAGTTATTTTTTATTAAATAGTTACAATTAATATAAATATATTTATACATATGACAGAATCACTATATTAAGTGACAAAATAGGAAGCGATTTTCCTTTCTATAAATGGTGTTGGACTATTTTTTGTTTGTTACTATTTATGTGCATTAACCCTCTAGCAAGAACATAAAATTTTTTTGCCGTACAATTTTTTTGCATATGTCTGACAGATGGGTACGCAAATTTTTTTGAATTTTATTACCTTAAGGACTGCTTTAAAAGTCCTTATTACTCATGAAATTGAGTTGAATTTTTAATATTTAAGTCTTTATGAGGCACACTATATTAATGTATTTTTATCACAAGAATTGTGACTAGTATTTTTATAAAAACTGCTTAGAAATTATTTATATTCATGTAAAAATAATAATACCAAAAACGAAAAAACTATAGGAATATACGTATGATAGACGGTGATAGATAAGAAAAATCGCACATATCGTGAGTTGAAAAAAATCACCAAGTGCCACCATGTGATCCTCTCACTGGATAGAGTCCAATTGAAGATGTCAAGGCAACCCACCCCAAAAATCACACCACAGCATTATCTACAGGCATTAAAGCAAATTAATATATTAAAAAATACTAGTAAAAAGAAACCACATTCTCAAAAATTAAGCCATTCTAGGTGGGATTCGAACCCATGACCTTTGGATCGGAAGTCCAATGCACTATCTATTGTGCAACAGGCACACAATGAACGATTTTCTTTTCTATATATGGTGTTGAACTATTATTTTGCTTTGTTACTATTTATTCATTCTTTAATTTAATTAATGAATTAATATTTGAAAAAACTGAATTAACATCAAGTGTGATCCACTACAAGTTTCCAAAAATGTATTTGAACTTGAATGAATGAATAGAAAATATTTTACTAATGATTGTAAAATTTGAACAAGATATATATATATATAAGGAGAGAGTGAACTAATAGGAGGAATTGAAAAGAAACCTTAATGCTTTTTCTTTTTTGTATTTCAGGAATGTTAATTTTTAAATGGTAATAGCCATTAAGCTAATTAAGCTATTTTAACTTTTATATTTAATAAATATTTTTGCAATTTTTTTTTCAGCTTTATATAAGTTTAAACTAATGATAGAAAATAATTTTTACCCTTAACTATTTGAGTAACTATGCATCTGAAAACTTGGTCAATGACAAAACTGGAGGAAAATACATTCGTAATGTTTTAAAGGAAGATTCTATGGAGTATACACGATGGTATAAATGAAAATGGTAATTGGAGAAGGAGATTTAATTTTGAACTATGCAGGATATAACAAACAACCTGACATTAGTCAATACAATTAGATAAATAGAATAAACTGGAAAATAAGTGCCCAAATGCACAATGACAACACAATTAAACAAAATATATGGCTTTTTACACCTACTGGAACAAATGGTTGAGAAGGGCTAATTCGACGGAATCGGATTTTTTCACAATTACTGAAAAGAACTGGAGATCAAACAGAAGTTGTTACGGAGAAATCTTCAGAAAATGGCACTGGCTAATAAATGGCCTGTTTAGCCATTTATGATGATGATCGAGTAATTAATACAACAGCATTAATTATCAAGTTTAAAATAATTTTTATATGTCCTTTGTCTTGAACTCATAATTAACTTAGCTGTTAAGAATTTTGATTAGCTTTTTAAAAATTGGATTAAAAATTTCCAGGGGTTAAATCCATTACATGTGTTGTGTAATGCATGTGATATTAAAATATCCATTAAAAGTTTGAATATTAATTTATTACATATTTAAGAAAACTAAACTGACATGTATTTTAATTTATATAGATTATTCACAGAAAAAAAAATTGCTTATCAGTAATATGAAATCAATTCCTATTAGATACTTCAGGCTTTATAAAGCACTCTAATAAGTAGGTTTCCTTCATAAGCGACCAATTTTGCCCCCTTGTTCGGTGATCTTGGCCTTTGAAAAACAAATTTGCTTTTTTTT